AGACAAGATGTCCAGAAGGCCAGTGCTGGCTCAAATAATCCTCAAAGTTCTGGCCGATAAGGTGCAGGCTTGTTTTCCTTGTCTGTGGTAGGCCCCTGATGTTGAGGATCCCAGAGGAAATTCTGAGCTGAGTTTCAGATACTCCCTGCCCCACTGGGGTTGGCTAGGTGTTACTTCTCCCAACCCTACAGGACCACCCAGATCACGGGCCTTTTTTTCTGGCTTCCTGTCGCAGAGGGCTTGCCCCCAGGGAATTGCTGTCAGCCCAGGAAAGGCATGTGAGAGCTGGCCCCTTTGGAGCCCCAGCAAACTTTCCCACTATTAATTCAGTTTATAGGTTTGGGTTTGCCAAGTCAGGCTAATGCCCCAAGGCAGCTAGCTCCCACCACTTACAGTGCTTGCTTGGCAGGCAGGTACATAGGGAAGAAGTCGGTATAGGGAAAGGCACGGAGGAAGCCAAGCAACATTTGAACTGCAATCTAAATACCTCGAGTTCAAATCTTTACTCCATTATTGTTGTTATGATGAAATTCCTTCAATTCTCTGAGCCTCAGTCTCCTTATCCATAAAATGGGGATGATAATCTTTGTCCAACCTACTTCGTGGTGTCACTTGGAAAATATCTGAATGCTTTAGTGGGATGAGTTACTTTTACCACAATAAAGCAGGTAAGGGGGAATGAATGCCCTTTGCCATCTCTTCCTGGGATTAAGGAAGAAAAAATCAGTCTCAGAACATTTAGCTTCTCCCTTTGTACCCATTGACCGGGGTGGAGCAAGTTAATTGTGAAAGTGCCCATTACATTACAAGGGCCTGGATGAGAATTTCTCTTTGCTTGGGTCTTGCCCCATCCTGGCCAGGTTAGGGTTTGTCACCCTGAAGGAGCTCAGCTAGCCATCTAAGTTCCAAGAAGTCCCCTGGGACCCAGGATGGGTACAGTGGAAATCCTGCTGGATTTGGAATCACAGGTCCTGGGTTCAAATTCTGGCTCTGTCATTCACTACTTGTATGACCTCACCTAAGACCCAAGACTTGGGGAAGTCAACCTTCTCCGGGCCTCAGTTTCCTCATCTGTAAATTGTTGGGCTAGATGAGAGATGTCATTGGGCCCCACGCAGCCAAGTGCTGGCCGAACCAGATTAAAATGTAATTGGGACATGTTTAACAAAACAATTTTGTTAAATAAATAAACCACAGCTAACATTTATATAGCACATTTTCTATATATCATGTCATTTGAGCCTTTCAGTCAAATGTCTTGTTCCTCTCCCCTCTTCCCTGACCCCTCCTCCAATTCCGGTGTGCCAACCTCAGAGTGTCCTGCTCCTGCTTCCCTCCCCACTCCCATCCCTATCCCTTCCCAGAAGCCCCAAGCCCTGTTGCTGTCTCTCTGGCTTGCCCCACCCCCAGGCCCATCTGCTCCTTTTCCTTGCCCCTCTTCGCAAAGTCCATCACCCCCTGGCTCCAGGGCCTTTCTCTGCCTCAAGATGACTCTCTGAAACAAGCAGCTAGGTGGCAAAGTGCATAGAGTTGGAGAGCTTGCTGGCTGTGTGACCTTGGTGGGGCACTCACACTCTCCCATCCTCTGTTTCTTCATCAAACCAAGAAGGAAAAGGGGAAGACAATGGCCTCCAATGTCCCTTCCAGGTCTACAATAGTGATCCTATAATTTCCCCTTCAGAAAAAGAACATACAAAAGACAAAAAGCTGGTTCTGTTTGTCTTTGCTTTAAAGCAATTACACACACACATACACACACACAAAGTGCTTTTAAGGGGCACAGAATCCAATAGGTCTGATTCCCACTGAAGCCCCCTCTGAGGGATCCTGCTCTGAAAACCCACTGTACTGTCTCGGGGCTTGGAGTGGAATAACGGTATGTGAAATCAGCTCCCTGCCCCTTGCCCTGGCCCCCGCCTCTGTCAGGTGCCAATTGAAACAACTGCCTCCCTTCCCTTTCTCTTTCGGAACTCCCTGTTTGGACTGATCTTTGAGGGAGAGCAACTTGCCTATCAATTAGTGTGTCTCGTCAGCTTGGGTTTCACCCCAACTTCCGTCCCTCAGGGAACAGGGAATCAGTCCTATGAACTTGGTAAAGCAAGGATTGGGTGGGGTAGGGGGTGTGATCTGTTAGAATATGACAGCTGTCACCATGTGCTAAAGCAGCTGAGACTTCCCTCATAAATCAACCTGTCTGCCTTCTAGAGCAGGCTGGGAGGTCGGGGGTATGTTGGGGGTGCTGTGAGACTCACAGCCACATAGGAGCATGGACTTTGATGGAGCAGGGAGCTTAGAAGCTACTGAGTGTGGTCAGTCAGTCAGCACTGGAGATACAAGAAAGGCAAAAACTCCATAAGGAGTTCACATTCTAATGAAGGTGGGAGGTCAGGGCAGAGGAAGATGGCAACTTGGAAATAACTAGTTATACGCATGATATGGATGTTGAGGGGAAGGACCAACCTCATATCTGGGCTGTCTGGAACCTCAAAGAGCAGCTGCTCCAACCCTACTTGGTCAGGGCTTGTCTTTGAGACATTATCCCTGCAGCCTTGGGAAGCTCACTCCCTCCTTAGATAGCCCCATTCTGCTTATGGGCAGATCTGAGTGTTAGGAAGCCCCCTACCCCAACTCTGGACAAGTTGAAATTGATCTCCTCATGTCTTCCACTCATTATTTCTAATTCAGCCCTGTGGAGACAGTCTGAGCAAGTGTGATCCCTCTCTCCTGCTACTTAATAACACAGTGTGCTACAATGTAGCGAGGGCTCAGGTTGGAGTGGGACCTCAGCTGCAATGCCAGCTCTCACTAATTACCAGTGTGACCTTGGGCAAGTCACATCACTGATTTGACCTATTTCTTTGGATGTCAAATGAGGGGACTGGACTACAGAGGTCCTCCCATGTCCCTTCTGGGTGCAAAACTGTCATCTCCTGCACTTCTCAGGTCTCCTTTCCTTTAGGACACAGCGTGAGCTAGTGAGAGTCAGTCATAGCATGGACGAGGCCATAGCAGAGAAAAAGAAAAATGAGGGGAAGAAAGAGGAAAGAAAAGGAGACAGCCAATGATGGGTCAGCAGGGAAGAGGTTAACCCCCAAGGCTCGAGGACTGCAGGGAAAAACGCTGGAATGAGCAGCACCTCTCAGACCCTCGCATGAGTCCCTAGGAACTAGATAAGGGATACACTTTTCAAAGAAAAAAGCCCAGCACATTTTCCAAGGACTATCTCAAGTGTCAGGAATGGCAGAGGGAGAACATCAGAGTTGGTGGCCATTATCACCACTTGCAAAGGGCACTGAGAGGTGAGACAGCCCAGAAGCAGCTCCTGTCAGGGCTTCCATCCAGGCTGGAATGGGATGGGACAATGCTGCCCCACGAACCTCATGGCCACTACGTATGTCTGAGCCCTCATGCTACAGAACCGCTGCTTGGACCTTCTGGTTTTGTAATTAAGGGGCAAGCGATGTTCTTCCTAGCCCCTGACTCCCTCATTGCCACAGCCCAGCTCTCGCTGTGAAGGTCTAGAGGTAGCCTGGATTTCAGACCTTCAGGAAACCTGGCTGGACATCTGCAGGATCTGCCATTTGGCCACTCAGGAGTCTCACAGCCTCTTCCAAATAGCATCTTTCTTTTGTTCCATTCCTCTCTTCTCCCCGCCCTCTCCCACACCTCTCCTCTCTCTTCTTCTCCTCTTCTCCTTCTCCTCTTCCTTCATTGCTCCTCTCTTCCTTCTAACATTTCTCCTTTTTCTTCTTCTCCTCACTCTTCTCCCTTCTTATTCTCTCTTGCTTTCACCCCTCTTCTCCCCTCCCTCCTCCTTTGTCTTCTTCTGTCCTTCCTCCTCCTCTCTCTTCACTCCTCTTCTCTTTCCTCTTCTCTCCCCTTCTTTTCTTTTCTCTTCTCTCTCTAGTTGCTTCATTCTTCCTCTTTCCATACCTCTCCTCTCTCTTTCTCTGCTTCTCCTCTCCTCTCCTCTCCTCTCCTCTCCTCTCCCCCTACATTTCTCTAAATCATTAATCGTTTATGAATTTAAGAGGGATGGTGTTCTCTCTCTCTCTCTCTCTCTCTCTCTCTCTCTCTCTCTCTCTTTATCTCTCCAGTACCTGGAAGACTAAAAAGAATATTTCATAGCTCAATTAAGCCACCCGATTCCCTTGATCATGTTTCACTTCCATCCTAGAACACAGGGATTGAGAAATATAGACTTGGCTGTGAGAAAAGCCTTTTGGGAAGAAAAAAGGCTTTGGTATGAGCTGACCTTTCCCCAGCTTCAGCCCTGAGGCCAGGACCCTTCTGCTTGGCTGGACAGCTGAGCCCCAAACATTGGGTGCTGACTCCCTGAGTACCTCCAATCTTCAATATGATAGCAGGAAACCTACCTAAGGTAAGATCTGCCACCTTCTCCCATACATAGGTGTCCCTCCTCTCCTCCTTCCCCCCCCCCACCAAAATCTCAGCGCACTGGACTGGCTACAGGAAATCTCAATGGAATGGTGCTTTATCAACAAAGATGAATTATCTTGAAAACCAGGACTTCCTGTGTCTCCACAGCCTAAGTAAGTTATTCAGTGATCCATCCATCTACCCCATTACCCATTCAATCTGGCAGTTGGACTCACACTCTACATCCCTGCCACAACCACAAGGCCCTATCTAAGAGACAGCCAATGATGCAACCAATCCAGGCCATTGGGGTGTCAGAGAAGGGCTGACATGCCCTCATCCTCTGACTGGGCTCCCCTGTACGTGGTCATTTCCTCACCCAACCGCCCTCCCCACCAAAGCCCACCGATGAGCTGCTGATTTGACAATTACTTGCCAACCCTGACATTTATCATTCCAGGGAAAGAGGTACCCAGCTCTTCATCCCTGGCCTCTGAAGGTACCTGTTGCTTTCTTCCCTAAGGCTGGAGGCAACCAGGAAAAGATCAAGCACTTTCCTCCACCCCCAGAACTGTGCTCAGCTCAGGCCAAGCAGGCCATGCATCCCCCGAGACACTCACCCGAGAGATGGTGAGTGGCATGTTGAAGTCCTTGCCCCCCTGGAGACGGAAGCCCCAGGGTCCTGGGCCAGTGAGGGTCACGCTGTAAGCCATCCCAGGATTGGTGCACCGGTCACCCTTAGCCTCTGCAGGACAAACAGAGAAGTAGGTAGAGGAGAGGTAGACAAAAAGAGGGTGGGAAAGCAGCATGGGGAGCAGTGTAAGGAAGAAAAGAAATACCAACCGCCCTCCCCAGCCCGACAGGGAAGCCACCCGGTCTGCCTTGCCTGCACAGCCCAGATGGAGAGCCACCTAAGAATAGAGGGCAGCTCTAACGTCGACACTGATATCTCCACTCAGCTGAGTCCATAAATGGGTTGTAACCCAATACTCCCTATACAAGTACCTCTGTGACTCACCCAGCTAATATAGCCCCTAGGGAAGGGAGCCCAGCCCCAGCTCCCCCAGCCCCAACCCTAAGGGCAGAAAGTAGAAGGAAATGGACATTCTATCCCTGCCCCCCAACCTCTGGTCTGTTTTTGGGTGGGGAAGTCTTCCCTTTGCCTCCTGGATGGGTTCAGTCTTTCTGGGGACTCAGGGATATACACAACTCCTCTGCTGGGAGCAAAAACCATTTTCAAATGCTCTATCTTTGAGTGTTCTTTACTTTTATTGCCTGTGTGACCTTGGGAAAGTCACTTAAGCTCTTTGAGCCTCAGTCTACTGATCCATAAAATCAGAAGGTTCAGTTTGGTGACCTTGCAGGTCCCTTCCAGCTCGAAATTGGTGAACGAATAAGTGAATGAATGAAAGGCATTTATTAAGCACTTACTATGTGCCAGGCTACATGATAAGCTCCAAGAATGCACATATTAAAAATATGGCCCCTCCCCTGAAAAATGATCTTACATTCTTTTCTTTTCCTTTCCTTTTCTTTCTTTCTCTTCCTGCTTTTCTTTCTTTCTTTCTTTCTTTCTTTCTTTCTTTCTTTCTTTCTTTCTTTCTTTCTTTCTTTCTTTCTTTCTTTCTTTCTTTCTTTCTTTCTTTCTTTCTTTCTTTCTTCTTCCTTCTTTTTTTCCCTGGGTCTCCTTATCATACCCAGGCCAGAAGTGCAGTGGCTCTTCACAGGCCCAATCCTACTATCTATAGGTACAGAAGCTTTGACCTGTTCCATTTCTGAGCTGGGTCAGTTAGCCCCTCCTTAGGCAGCCTGGTATCCTGAAAGGGGTCTCACCACATTAGTGCTGGACTTAATGTGGACACCCTTTTATCTTTAGCCCTACTGTAAACTCAGAACTCCTGAGCTTAATCAGTCCACCAGCCTCAACCTCCCAAGTATCAGGGATTATGCGTAAGGAGCTTGCATGCTAAGAGGGGAAGACAAAGGCTAGGGTTGTACATATAGACCTTCTAGCTACTGGGATGAGGAAACTGAGGCAAACAGGGTTAAGTGACTTGCCCAGAGTCACACAGCTAGTATCTGAGGCTGGATTCCTGACTCCAGGCCCAGTTCTCTGGGTACTAGGGCACCACCTAGATGCCCTCATTTTATAGTTGAAGTAATTGAGACTTGAGTGAAGTGATTGACCCACAGTTGCACAGCTAGTAATAGGCAGACCAGGCATTTAGTTCAATTTAATTTAATTCATTAAAGACTTCCTACATGCAAGGTCATGTTAGAGGCTAGGGATACAAAGATGAAATAAGACATGACTTCCTCAAGTCGTTTTCTTCACCTATAAAATAATAGTTTTTATTACTTACCTTATAATGTTGTCATGAGTAAGATACAAACCTCAATATGCTATGGAAATGTGAGCTATTTAGTGACTATGTTTCCTCATTTGTAATTAAAAAAAAAAAGATTTGGTGAGACCAGACAGTCTCTAAGTCCCACCTTTTAAAATCCTATGATTTGCCTAATATCTCACAGTTAGTAGAAGGTGGGCACTAGATATACGGGTCCTTTAACCCTAAGTCTGGCAATCTTCCTTCTCCACTCCACTCCTGCCTCTCTTTTGGCCCAGTTACATAAAATAATAATAACAGCTACAATTTTTCTATCACTTTAAAATTTGCAAAGCACTTTACAAATGTTATCTCATTTGAAATTTACAACAACCCTGGTAAGTAGGTGCTATTATCGTCCCCATTTTGCAGATGAGAAAACTGAGTCAGACTGAGGTTAAGTGACTTGCCCAGGGTCACACAGCTAGTAAATATCAGAGGCAGGATTTGAACCCAGGACTTTCTGGCTTTCAGGTCAGCCTTCTATCCACTCCGCTACCTCATTAGTTGGGACTCTCTCTTAGGACAATGGCCAACGTGGACATTTATTTATTAAGATGTAGTCTTTTTGGTGCCCCCAGGTCATAGCCAGCTTGCACCAGCCAGCTCGTCAAGGAGGGTGGTGGGGTGGGATGGTGGACATGGGAAGTGCTGGATCTGGAGTCAAAAGGCTTGGCTTGGAGTCCTCTTTCTCCCACTTACTAGCTGTGTGACTTAAGGCAAGTCAACCTCTCTGAGTCTCAGTTTCCTCTTCTGTAAAATCATACAGGAAAAGCCTTACAGCTCCAGGTCTTATAGGTGGGGGATGCTGAATGCTGAACCCAGACCTGGAGACCCCCAGGGTGTGGGAACCAGAGGCTATTGTGGGAGCAATAAATGAAGGAAGGAAGGAATTCCAGGAAAAAGCACTGTCTATACCTTGGCATGACAGGTTCACGAGCTCCTCTCAGTCTTTCTCAGCTACTCGAGGCAGAAGCCAGGGCTAAGGGCTGGGTTTGGGATTCCTTTCCCCCTCCTGCTCCCTCTCCCAAACTTGTAACTCCAAACTCTGCCCCCTGCCAGGGGGCCCCGGCCCCGGCCCAGGGCCAAGGCCACACCTATCAGTCCCTCGGCCTCTGCTGGTCAGGACTATTCCTGTTTCGGTAGCCTTCCAAGGCCTTGGCCGTTCTGGAAAACCTGACTGTAGCACAGAAATTTTGGGGCCGGCCTATGCCATCAGGCAGGCCCTGTGCCCTTTGGAATGGGAGGCCTTGGGGGGAGGAGGAGAGGGAGCAGAGAACAGACAGACAGATGCCATTTGCTCAGTTGCTATGCAGCAGAGCCTCAGGGAGACAGGAGCCCACGTTCTTGGAACTCTGATTAGCTGCCCTTTGGCAGTGAGCACAGCGTACTGGCATGCCTCTCACATGACAGTGTGCTTAAAACTGGAGGTGTAATGGAAACCCGGAGTCTTAAAGCCAGAGTCAAAAGCCTTGCAGTGGGGTCCCCCCCTTTGACCCAAACTTACTATCTGGGTGACCTTGGCCAAGTCCCTTCACTTCTCCCCACTGGTAAAATGGGGCTAACCGTGTCACACCAACTCTCTCTCAGGGCTGTTGGGAGAAATGGATGCCAACTGTGCTCAGGACCTCACAGCTCCAATAGCCTGGCTGTGCCTTCAGCCAGTCTGGGTCCCTGCCTCTATTCTCTGCCTGGACTCAGTAGTCAGGCCACATCAGTTAGTAGTTAGTTCTCTGGTGATGCACCTGTCTACCAACACCAAGGAGGGCTGCTTCTTGGGTGATGGACATCATCTCTCTGTTACTGGGCCAGACTTGAAGCCTTTCTAGCTGGGAAGGATTGGCCAATGTTTGATCCACAGAGGCAGCTCCTTCAAGTAGGAAGGGCCATCTCTATGGCGTGATGAGAGAGAATCAGTGGAGGTCTTTCGAGGAAAGGGCTTCAATCATTCATTCATGCATTCATTTGACTAACATTTATTAAAAGCCTACTGAATACCAGGCACAGAGCTAATCACTGGGGATACAGAGACAGAAACAAAACAGTCGATGTCCTCAGGGAGCTTACAGTCCTTGGGAGAGAACAACATACACCTAGATAAGTGAATACAAAACGTATACAAAAACACAAAGTAATGGGGGGGGTGGGAGGATAACAGCTGGGGAGGGTGGAGGCTGGGAAGGTCCTAATGTAGAGGGGATGCTTGAGCTGAGCCTATACATATATAAATGACCATAGTCCCTGTAGGTAGGTGACTAGGTATGGCTCTCTACCTCCATTCTAATGGTCTGTCACAAGGACTAATCTACTACATTCCCCTGGATAGCCTAGATCTTAGCCCTATGGCATTTGCCTTTAACCGCCCTTGCCTTGCACCTGTACTGTCTTTCACAGGTCACTCTCACCAGAAGTAGTTGTATGCTGAGCTCCATCCCCTGGCCCCTTGACCTTTCCCAGGTCACGTGGACAGGAGAAAAGGCCTTGGACAAGGTCATCTCCAGGACTAGTCAACTGGGAAAGTTATGACCCAGAGGACTGAACCTAGAATGAACCAGGAACCTTCATGCCCCTGTATTAGCAGGCACATCCCATCACTAGTACCCCACCAAAGTGAAGACTCCAGCCCTAGAAATGGCGCCTGCGGGGAGGACGGGGCCAAGGTCTAATCCCTGAATCCCCTTGAGTTGTTGTCTTAAAGATGTATGGGGAGACATAAACAGCAGAGGCCTCTTCTCAGTGAAAAGTGAGCTGGTGACACAAAGGGAAACAATTCCAATGAGGTGGAAAAGGGGGAGTGGTCTAATGAGACTCACTTGGATTGGAGGACAGCTCGAAAAGGATGGGGGGAGGGGGGAAACAAGGACCCGTGGAGATGCCGAAGCATGGCACAGTCTGGTCAGAACTGGGCCGGTGCTGGGAGCCTTAAAACAGCCCCCTCCCAATTCTGTCAGCCCGGGGGGGGGTGGTGGCTGAGAGGGAGGAGGCAGGAGGAGGGAGGAGGAGGGTCTTCCCTAGGTGTTGTCTTACCAGCTTTTTAAATAATCTGTCCTGGATTTTCCTAACATTCTAAATCAAACTCACTGGTTTATGGTTTGCAGATCCTTCTCTCTCTCTCTCTCACTCCTTCCGCCTCCCCCACTCTATGCTCCCTTCTTCTTCTTCTTCTTCTTCTTCTTCTTCTTCTTCTTCTTCTTCTTCTTCTTCTTCTTCTTCTTCTTCTTCTCCTCCTCCTTCTTTCTTTTTGTTTCTCTTTGCCTCTCTGTCTCTTTCTCTCTCTGTCTCTTTCTCTCTTCCTCTGTCTCTGTCTGTCTCTGCCTCTGTCTCTGTTTCTCTGTCTGTCTGACATTTGTCCTTCTCCAGTACTGAAGCACCTCTGTTATTCTTCATTATCTCCATCTTCCATAATATCACTGACAGTGGTAAAACAAATTACTAATCTCCACTCAATCTACAAGCATTTATTAAGCACCTACTATAATGCCAGGTATTATGCTAAGAACTGATGTAAAGATAATGGTCTCTGACCTCAAGGACTTTTCATTGTGAGGGAGTGGGAGGGGGAGATAA